GATTTCAATTGTATGTTGTAGAAAAGATATTAAAAAAACTGTATAAACTGAAAATAAAAAAATTATTACCCGACTGCACTGTTTTTATGATTTGTTATTCTAAATTTTAATAATGAGTGGTCATTTTCATGCCTATAGTCCAATCGTGTCTACCAGTTTATACACGGACAGTGCAGATGGGCACCTAGGATAAGTTAGGTTATGTAAGTGCTTTTAAACAACAACATGTTGTTACGCTCTGTACTTGTAACCAAAATGACCAGTATGCATTCAGTAATAAAGGTTGTCTTAAATGTAAACGGAATACTTCCAAGCATCTTGGTTCGTTAAAACAATTAACGGACCAAGTTGTTTGGAGGTAGTGTTTTATTTGTGTCCTATGACCATTTTATAACTCCTATTCCTTTAAAAAATGTTACAGGCACGTGGAAGAAATATCAACAGCTAACGACATGAAAAGAGCGGAACCTATTATGTTCTGAACAAATACAGAGGTTGTTAAAATAAATTATATAAACACAAAATTAAATTAAATGGCTCTAAATACACTATAGAGCGATCCTATTAGAGCTTATTTTTGTTATTTATTATTGTGCAGATTTATTTTCTGAATCCAACGATGTATATGAACTTTACTTTTGTAAAGCATTTATTACAGAAAAGACGACAAAATATTAGTCGATACCGTATTTGGCGCCCGACCACTAATTCTTGACAAATGTATTTTAACTAATCATCTGTGCCATGGAAAACAAGAAATAATACAGTAAAGCAAAACTCGAAAGAGAACTATGTAGTTAACAAAAAATAAACAATACGATGAATATCAATTAAAAGAAAAACAATTTAAAACCATTATACAAAGTTAAACACGAAATAACATTAAACAAAGAACAAACAAACACAAAACAACAAAAGAAACAAATTGTGACCGTCATTCTCAATCGTTTTCCTCTAATGCCTGTACTTTTTGAGGATGGCTTCAATTTGTGCTTTTTCAATACTGCATGTCATCCCAAATGGAAATTCTTTGGTTTTCTTCGGCATTAAGAAGAACATTGAACTTGACGTTTTCATTAAATTGGTGATCTCGCTTTGGTTTCTTAAAAGCACCATAGTTTCTCAAATTTTCTTCAAGTCTTACAAATCTACGTGGTTCTGGAACTTCTCTGTGAGGAAATAGTTCTCTGTAAAGGCAGACTCCTGCATCACTATTTTTATTATACCGAAAGTATAATTGAATCATGTCCGTCAATTGATTATTACTCATATTTTGCACTTTTGAGCCTATTTCAATAAATAGCCTATTGTATATAACACAGAAAGAGTGTGATGCATAAAAAACTGGGACATGAACGCTAAAATGACATTTACCTGCTTTGTTGTATTATTTTTTGTTTTCCAGGCAAACTTTATTAGTCAAAATATGTTTGTTGTCAATTAAGCGACCGGGCGCTAATAATGCGGTATTGACTATTTTCATGCTTTTTCTGTAATACATGTTTCACAAAAGTAAACTTTATATTCAGAATAGAAATCTGCACAATAATAAATAAAAAAAATCTATAGCCATTTGAACAAAAAGTAGACTGCCGCTTTTCAAAAAAAAAATCATAATAAATACACTCCAATAGGCTCACTTTATAGTGGATTTAGAGCCATTTTATATAATTTTTTGTCTTAAAATCGGACTATAATTGACGGAGTTATGGCTTGCGGCGTTTTTTTAGGAGACAGTCTGTATATGGTTTATAGTAATACAGTACACTCATGTAATACAAATAGCCAAGAAGGGAAGTGGAAAAGGAAAACAAAAATTCAATTAATCATTTAAATTTATTGACTTAAATTAGTTCATTCGCTTTGAATGTGTCAATTTTTTCTTGAACATGCCTAAGCAAAATAACAAAACGATGCATTGGATAAATTAATTATTTTTTTCTTGATTTTATAACGGTAAAAATTTTATAAGTAAAAATACAGGGTGTCCCAAAATTAATGCAACAAAATTTGGACACATATTGTTAAAAACAAATTTAGGGGACCCGCATTTTTTATTTTTGCCAAGTGGCCCCCCTCTTTCGGAGTTACAGCCCCCTGAAGTCCGCCCATAAGAATAATCTGTTTTTTATATCTCGGAACCCTACTGTACAAAAATCAGTAAATTTGGTACACAGGGGTTTTATGACGTGGAATCTGACGGTGCTACGCTTTTTGTCGGGAAACCCCCTTAAAACGATTTTTCATAGGCCCCTTTGTCTTGAAATTTGGTCGCATATTTAAATTTCTTAAAAATTATTAGTCTGCTAGAAAGGCATTAAATTTAGAAACTTTTTTGTATTTTCATATTTTTTCGTAAAATGCAATGTTTTCGAGAAAAATGTTAAAATGTGATCGAACGCTTATCATGATTCGCCATTTTCCTCAAAATCATTGCGTTTTACAAAAAAAATATCGAGAAAAAAGTTTCTGAATTCAATGGCTTTCCAGCTAATAATTTTAAAAAAATTCAAATAATTTGCGACCAATGTCATGTTCCCCACCAAAAAGTGTAGCACTATCAGATTCCACATGTAATAAAACCCCTGTGTACCAAATTTAGTGATTCTTGTACAACAGGGTTCTGAGATTTAAGAGACTATTTTTAGGGGCAGATTTCAGGAGTCTGTAACTCCAAAAGAGGGGACTACATGTGAAAAAGAAAAAAATACGGGTCCCCTAAAATTTGTCTTAAGAATCTATGACCAAATTTTGTTGTATTAATTTCGGGACACTCTGTATTATTAGTATGTACTTATCAATTATCATTTTACAATTCAGAAGAAAAATCTTATCTTATTGAATAATATACCAAAGAATATATGTTCCTATTAAACAAATTAATAATTAATATAAGCATTAGAAAAAAAAAATCAGAATGAAAAGACAGTTATCATATAAAGTACAAAAACAGTTCGGAAATTTGCAATAAGTAGAACAAAACGTCAATAGAAAAAAAATGTAATTTATATAATTTGAAAATGATAAAAAATTATGGTCATTTAGCTATCACAAGAAAAAATTATATCGTCACTTGCTAGTACTTTTTTAGTCATTAACTACAATCTTTTGTTGTTTTTTTAAATGGGAGAGTTGTTACACCTTATAAGATTTTTTACAAGACACCCGATATTACTTAAAATCTTGAAGCTGGGTGGAATAATTGCAGCTATGTTCTTTGATTTGATTTGAATTTTGAGCACAGGTCAACAAATCTGAGGAAGGATAAGAGGTAAGTGGAATCATGAATGTGAGAATATTCATAAGCTAATCTGGTATATGTTGAAAAATATTTAATTTCCAAGATATAGGGTATATTGAAATAGAAAATACTGAAGTCGAACTTCATTCATATAATTTCATGAAAATGTAGAAAATCACTACAAACTGTTTTCAGGATCTCGCTTTATAAAAAATTATTGCTATACCACAAAACAGAATTGCATTTTAAGTGATTTTTAAACATAAAAGGTGTACTTGAGTATCGCTAGAAGTATAGCATAGCTCCTGAGGCAAATTAATTTCACTTCTACTGCAGCCAGTTGCGGATAGTCAAGTATTTTGTGAACTAAGAGGATATGTATTGGTAAAAATAAACAAATACTTTCAAAACCTTGCAATACCAAAACTGTATCGATAGGCAGAAGCGGATTTCTTTCCTATATCACCTAGTTCCTCAAATCGTTCAGGTCGAAGCAGTCCTCGAAATCGGGAATCGTAAACCCAACACCATAGGAATCTTGGAGCATATACCACATGGAAGAACCACACTTACAGCGACAGTGTAGGCAAGTGACGGACAGAGAAAGAGACTGGGCAATGAACTACATACGGTGTCTCCAAAAGGTTGGGAAATCTCAAAGCTGGAGATACTGGTGGCCAAAATAAGTCGATTGAGCAAAATATGCCTTATGCAAATGTTGCTGGTTTCAAAGATACAGGGTGGCAAAGTTTGAATTTTATTTTGGAATTTCTCAATAATTTTGAAAACTGTCACAGTATGAACAAAAAAATTGGCACAATAATGTTTTTTGACACGACATATAATAATTTTTAACTAAATTTGGTGTTGCTTGTATAGGGCGTCAGTTATGCCCTATTGCTTTGATAAAAAGGACGGACATTGTGTATTGAAAATATGAATGAATGTCCTTCGTTTCATAAAAAAGTTACTCTTGTTCGTTTTCGATATTTTCCTTAGTTATAGAGATATATGCATATACAAATTGCAATGCATTTCATTTTTAAGCAACGTTTAATCAAGTGCAGTTTCAAATGAATTTATGGACAGGCATAATTAAAAATGTCTAAAATTTTTAGTCAAATTGTAAAAAATTGATCATCGTTTTATAATTTGCCTAGTCATTTATAAAACACTTGGGCATTTTATTAAAAGGCTGAATTTGCAATTGGCATGCACATATATAAACTCGATAAGACAAAAAAATATACTCCAGGACCTCTATTCCTGAACATTCGAACGGCGACGTATGAGCGAGTCACATATCCTGCCTCTCTCAATTACCATCGTAAGAAAGGGATAAAAATATCAATTCGCATACACATTGCTCTTCAATCAAGAATCGCAACCCACTTCCAGTTAAAATGCTCATCGAACTTAAAACAAAACAAAAAGAATATAGTAGGGCGGGAAATTTAAATGGTTATGGATACACCCGTTAGAATTATAAAGAAATTATTTGTAATCACTGAAGAACATTGTGAAATTTTTTTAAATTGCAACGGAATTGTGTACATTTAGTACAGTAATATGTAGACTTGAAATTGACCAAATAAATTGAGGAATTTATTGTAATGTAAATAGGTTAAGTCATTTCTTAAAATTTACTATGTCACAAGTTAATAAATGCAAAAAAAGATTTAGGAATAAAGAAAATAAAAAGACACTGAAAACATTATAGTTTCTTATTTATATACATATAAAAATATTAATATTCACAAACAGTTCTTTCAAAAAGAAAAAGTAATATATTTATTTGTAGACAAAAATTTAAAAAAAAAGTTAAATGGAAATTTGTCAAATTAGTTTTTCACTTCAAGATCAATAAATTCTTGTGCGTGTAACCATTCATGTGGAGAATAGAGTTTTCTAGTTTTATGTTGCATTGAAACTGACCTAGTATCATCTAAAAAAATTCAAATCAATGAAATAAAATTAAGCCTCGTTCATGCAGAGAAAAATTTATATTTACAATTTTTTTTTATGAAACTACAAATCTAAAAACCGACTAAATAGGTAATTCCGCTCTAAGTTATGCTATACCTGCTAATTTGTTCTTTTCAACGCTTTTATTTTTCATCCAGTTTCTAGCTAAGGATTTAACTTGCTTTGATGGTAAATACAATGCTTTCAGATGGAATATACTTTCCTGGAAGTCCTTTAACCCAACTAAACACGTTAAGCATTAATATAAATTTTAATTTAAAATTATGCTACCTATGTATAAGATATACCTGTTTCTTTCAATTTCATTACTGTGGCTAGAGATGATTTGTTTTTATTTTGTTGTTTCGTATTTCTTTCTTCATTTTTACCCCTATTAGTTATTTTGGAGGATGAATTTTTTTGTTTAACCCTAACAATGTTTCCTGTTTTTCTTCGTTGACGACTTTTATTCAATAATTTTAAATCTTTACGAGTAACGAACATCCCAGCTGAAAAGGTAATTGATATTATATTGTTTGAATATTTTGTTTTTAAATGTAACGTACAAGTTTTTATAGTGACAGGTTTTGGTATCCGAGTAGATTTTCTTCCTACATTTTCTTTTTCTTCATTGCTAGCAATAGATTTGGTTATGAAATTTTGTTGTTTAATATTTTTTTCTTCATTTCTGCCCATAAGAACATTACTAACACTTTTATTTTCTGTTCTCTGTTTTAGTATATTTGTAGTATTAGTTTTTTTGGATGAATTTTTCTGTTTACTCCTCACATTGTTTTCTGTTTTTCTTTGTGCTCGCTTTCTATTCAATAATTTTATATATTTTCGAGTAACGAATATCCCAGCTGAAAAGGTAATTGAGCTATTTTTTGAATATTTTATATTTTTAAAACGTAACTTACAATTGTTTATATTGACAGGTTTACGTATTCTACTAGACCTTCTTACTTTATTTTCTTTTTCTTCATTGTCAGTAATGTATTTGGTAATGGAAGGAACACTGGAAAAGCCACTGTCGAAACTAAACATTTGAGAAAAGAAAGAATTATTTTCAGCTCCTGCACAACCATTCCTGAAAAAAAATTTTATAAGTACATAATATATTGTTACCTCAACGGTTACTAACCTAGAAGGTGCAAAATTTACTTGATAATATTGATCTTCCGGTGTTGGTATTAATTCTTGAATATTTGCCAAATTCTTACTAACCAGATCTTTATTACTAAGAACTTCATTGTCAATGGGCCCATTATTTGCAGCTACAATTTCCGAAAGTATTTTTCCAGAGGTTGGTGGTGCAATATACTTGACTTCTAACTCTTTGCATAAATTTATTAACTGTTTAAAATCATCATTAACATTCGCTGTAAAAATTCCAAATTAAAAAATGAGTATAGCATTACATTCTTTAAAATAAATTAATGTTGACGAGAACTGTAGGAAATGTTTAATAAATGATTACAAGAACTGAAAGAAATGTTGACTGAATGATTACTCAAAATTATAAAAAATTTGGCTACAATTTTAACTTTAACCAAGAGCCAATAAGATAAAAAAAATTAATTTTTGTTATATTAACTTACCAACATTAACACATGCACATTCTTTAATAACCTCGTTAATAACTTCTATTATTTTTAAATCATCTGGAGATAAGTTACATCGAAATTCTGCATCCAGCTTTTCAGAAGTTTTATTTGGAAAGTTGAAACAGTTTTGAGTTGCTAAAACGTTCTTACAGTATTTTTCTTCGTCATCGGAATCAGAAAAAACTGGTTCTTCATCAAATAAATAAGTACTAGCGGTAAGTCTGCGCTTTCTGACATTTGGAATAGAATTATTATCATGAGAATTTAGACCATCTTTGTTGCAATTCATTTTGTCTTGTAAAATGTTATTTGTGTCTAAAACCACATTTTGCAGCACTAATATCCTTTTCTTTTCGTCAGCCATTCAAATGGAAAGTTTTTGATCTAATAAATTGAATGCATTTAAATAACAAAATAACATACCTATATATGAAATTAATATAAATATCAAAATTTACTTCTAAATTGGCAAATATATTTAAAGAATAACAAACGATTCAAATTTTTCTTCAACTGACAACGACAAGGCAACGACAACTGACAACTGAACATGTAAAATCCCAGAATAGAAAACTACGTAATATGTATTTAGTTCAGTATCAATAGGTCTTTTCCGTTTTCGTAAACTGTGATCGTGTTAACCCGATCATTATGATTACTGATCTCTTTATCAAATAAACCAGTTCATGTAAAAAGTTTTTGAAAAAGTTTGTTAACAATATTTTAATGTTAAAAACAGCTATCAGAAATTGGATATTTCTTTTTAACTGGAAAAATACTTCTTAAAATCGGGAATAGACGTTAGTGATCCATCTGATCTCAAACTGTAGTTTCCGAAAACCTTAGTGGTTTTCAATCACAGACTTCTATATATACTCAAAAGTCTGTATTTTCAATCAATCTCTTCTTTTACTCAGTAATTAGGATTGTTTAATCCAACCTTCGAGCTTCGAGCATCTACTGAAGGTAGCATGCCATTGCGAAAAGTGTGGCTGAGTGTGCGAGAGACACGGACAATATCTCAGGAAATGCTATCTCACTCTAGCACGCACGCCATTGGTTGGAAATTAATGCTGCGCTCATTGTATTCCGTCATTGAAGCGAAGAATGAGACAGCATGTACTGAAATACTGTCTGTCTCTCTCGCACATTCAGCCACAATTTTCGCAATGGCCTTTATCACCAGTAGTATAACTAGTATATGCTCGATGAATCCAACCGAAATTATATGGACGGACTCATAAAACATATGGAATGACATCAAAACGGTGATTAAAAGAACACGGTCTAAGGTGGGTCTAAGTCATAGATTCTGTAGGCTGTGGTTATGATACCAGACAAGTAGACTAGGCTGTAGCCGCAACAGCACGCGCCGTTATTTTTGGCGTTAAGCGTGACCTCGATAATTTGGACCGAGGGAGACTATCCCTTTATGTTCTACCTTATCTCTGTAGGCCTGGGCAGCGTCGTGAAGAACCACTTAAAGTCATTACAGGCTGTGGAACACATAGCTCTCCGCACGGCCACCGACGCGCCCTGGTACGTAAGAAACACTGACATATTACGAGACTTACAATACACAAACGCTACACGGGCAAAATAAGATAAAACGCGGAGAAACGGTTTGACGTGGCCGCTAGACATGACAATCCCCTCCTCAGGCAAGCCGTTGACTACGTACCCGACGTGACCGACAAACACAAAAGACCTAGACAACAACTTTTTGACCCTGGGTGACGACCCCAACAACATCCCCCGCCCCCCGCCCGCTAACCTTTTCTGTTTCAGAAACCGCCAGGATCGAGAAACGAAGACAACGACACAAACACACACATACACACCCCTCCATATACCCTCTTTACCTCTCCCTTCTCGCGCTAGCCTAAGGGCCACCTTAGCAAAGCGCATCCCAGGCTGCATAGCCGCACTACCCTACCCAACCATACCACACATAAACATGACACTACCCCCGGGGTTTACACAGACGAGCCGGCGAAGCAAGAAGAGCGCAAGAAGAAAGGGCCCTAGCCGGCGGGGCCCAGCCAGGACAAAAGGAGGTCCCACCAAGCGCCTACATCGGCCGCTTTTGCGGTCGGGGTAGACGACGGATGGGGCCCACCTACGAAGGCTGTCCAGGCCTACACGAGATGAGGCAGGATAAAGAGGGATAATCCCCCTCGATCCCAAATCATTGAGGCCAATTTCTAGCCATGGAATAATGGCGCGCGCGTCGTGAAGGTGGGCCCCGTCCATCGTCTAGCCCGACCACAGACAACCCAGGGTTGTCTCTGACCCCAACCACAAGCATGACCGATGAAGGCGCTTTGCGGGACCTCCTCTTACCCTGGAATATTAACAATTAATTCAGTGGCGTAGAAGTTTTATTTTGAATAAGGAAACGATATCCTTGTTTCTCCGCCACTGGATTTTGAATTTGGACTGTGTGCATACAGAACTAGGAGAAATATTTGAAAAAAAATGTGTACCAAATTTGGATATATTTGATGAAGCGATTTTACAGATATTTAAAAAAATTGTTTTATTTTTATTAATTTCAACACCCTGTTTCTCGTAAATGGTAGCTTTCTGAGCTTGTTCATAGTTCATAGAGCAGTGATGTTAATTTTTGTATAGTACTTTTTCGAAGTTTGTCTATTAAAATTTGGACCACCCTATATACAGGGTGTCCTGGTTCCGGTACTCGATATAAAAAATTCAAGTCAAAATGCAGTTAAGTTATTTTTATTTAGGCTCTAAACTATTGACTTTAGCATGATACAAATTTGGTGATTGATAACACATGCGCATAGCTTGTCTTGTCTTCAAGTTTTTGTCCATGATGTTCGCATTGTGAGCGGTCAAGTTTTATAGTGGACCAGTTTCCAGTGCCGTGCAGAAGTGTATTTTTAAATCTTTTTCAAATTGCCCTTTTTGATTTTTTCTTTACAAAATTGTATTTTTAAGTCCCCTGTGAATTCAAAATTTTTTTTGAATAAGTTCTGAATCACCATATATATTGAACTCCTCATGTAAGTAACTGCGATAGTAGTGGAATCACTCACTTAACTGAAGAAGTCAAATGGCACTGTTTTTTTTTTCAGTGACGATTTTTATGTAAGGAATAAGTTAATCTAATAAGAAATATATTGTATCAAACGCCAAAAAAGTTCTTGAGGAAATGACCAGATGTACGAAATAGTGAATGAAACAACAATATGGACAAATACAGTATATTTTACCAACACAAAAGACTTACAATATAAAAAGAAAGAAAACAAAAACATACACTGTAAACTTATTAACAATAAAAAACATTTAGTTATACTAACTTTTTTGTCCTCTTTCGGCTGAAATATAATTCGGTGCACCTCCATGACTAAAACGCTACTCGAAAATTGGCCATTTTCCAAAAAACAAATCAAAAACCGGATATTGCACTGAAACATGACCAAACTCCCAGTTTTAAATATATCTATATAATATAAACACTAACTAAAAACCGCAAAGATATTTCAGCCAAAACAAACCTTAAATTACTCTTATTGCCTAACCTAATCTACTTAGTTTTTAACTTAAATCTACCTAAGCTAACCCTAAAACTAGAATCTATCCTACTCGCTAAAAGCTATCCTTAACTAAATGCTTTTTGCTTTTTACAAATTGGAAATATTTCCAACCGTGACTTATTAATAGGTAGTCGCTGATCGAATCTTCGATAATTTATGGTCTAAAAATAGTTTATACCATTAAATATGCTGTGGTATAAGAAAATAAAACTGATACTATCAGTTAACTGTGTAAAAACTTCACAAAGTAATGTTGTCGATATAATATTTGGTTTCAGCTATATATCATGATTTTGTTTTATATAAACACCTGGATCGCCTGACTTTTAATCCAAACTTGAAACAAATTGTTTTATTAAAAACTTATTTACTTTTTTGCAACAAAATCCGAGCTACGAGAAATATTGTTCATAAAATTGTACAACGCTCCCGTAAAGTAACACATCAGTTCGATAAGGGTTCAGAAAATAAATCTCGATTGCCAAGTTTTTGAGTAAACACTTTCTTAATTTTTAAACACAAGTAATTAAATGTTTTAAAAAAGGTATTGTAGGTCCGTTACTGAAAATATGATAAAATTGTTAACATCGTAGCGAAGTCACCCGTTTATCGTTATTGATTGCACACAAACTTTAATTGAGTATGTTTTCAGGAAAGCAGTATATATACTAATTTGATTGAAGTTTCTTGTCGCTTACGGCCAAGCGGTGTTATAATATTGCTAAACAACCTAACAAAGTTAGGAATGGAGATACTAGAGGGCGGCACTTCCATAAAATCCCTTTCACCCTTGTTCATAGATGGCAGGAATTTTATGGCAGGGTTGCCACATATTATTTTCGTTCCTAAATTTGATTGGTTGTCGAACTACATTAGCCAGTTAGAAATTATAACTTTTTATTGAATTTGTGTCACTGTTACTTTACAGACCGCTGTACAAGTAATGTTACACTTGATTTTATTAATTGTTATTGTCCTTTTTTAAATAGTTCCGCCACACGAAGCTGTTTATATACAACAAAAGGATTCTATAGTTTTGGTTTCTCCTTATCCCTTGACAGGGGTGTAAAGCAGGAGAAATACATCAGAAAATTGTTAGCTATGTAACACACAAAATAATTTTTGGATGGAGGGTTAAAGACACTCTGCAATAGCAGTAGTTATATTGTGCCTTTTGGAATCTACCCTGACCTCCACAATCCTAAAAGGAAAGTAAAAAACCTTATAAACTGTCTATAACACATAAACAACTATAAGTTAAAAATTTGGTTATCGGTTTTTTTTTAAGAATACACCGAGTTAAAAAAATATATTAAAATATTTTCAGTATATCCCTGTGGACAATCTGAAAAGGCACGATTTCTTAACGTGAAGTTCCATGCAAAATTACCCGGCCGCGGAGCCGATTATCACCCGCGACCTTCTACGACAATAAACCTCTCAAACAATGCAACAATTTCATAAATTATAACAAACTCGGTCACACAGAACCGTTCGCGTGGACCAAAATAAATGTCTTGCCAAACAAAGTTAAATAATTTATTAAGGCGAGACGAATAAATGCAATTTTCTTTAGTTCGCTAAATTTTCGCACGAAAACGTTTTCAGAAAAATTTTATATACCAAAAAACGTAGCTGAAGAAAAATTTGTTTTGGTTTTTATATATCTATTAGTAATAGCCGTGTATAACAGTTAAACTTGGGAAAGAAAATACTAGATGGCGACTCTCCTATGAAATCTGTCTTAATTATGCTTGAAGCGCAGGCGATGAAGATTTTATTGGAGGCGCCATCTAGTATTTTCTTTCCCAAGTTGTCAACTACTTCCAATATTTCAATTAATTTAGTATCAATATTGAATAACGCTGCAAATTGTATCTACAATAAGAATGATAAGTAATTTTTTTTAAATCGGCAGGCAATTGAAAGAAAACTCTACTTTGGCACATACAAGTTTTTTGATAGCGGAGCTCAATACTAAACGAAATGAACGACAGATGGCGCACCTAAAAATTTGGTCTCTCGCTTCTTCAATAAATTATTTAAACCTTTGGTAAATCTGGCAACGGATTCTTCTGTATCGAATGCGCAGAAAACCGCGGGCGATAAGAGCTGGCCGGGTATCGAATAAAATTTTCGAAGGCTATGTCTCATCGAGTAAATTAAATAAAATATACGTTTGCAGTAAATAAACTAAGAAAAAACCTCAAAGTTCTCACACTTACATAAGACTATACATAAATGACTGAAAAAATACAGAATCACAGCTTCATTTAACTTAGTTTATCTACTGATATTTTTAAATAAATAATAATGTCAGTCCATTTTAAAAGAATCCCAATCATAATATATTTTACTTTTAATTATAAATAAATCTAAAAAATAAAACAAATTGCACTATATATATATAACTGTACAAAAATAGGGAAACTTTTTAAAACGAAAAAATCTGTTTTAAATAAATTAGAAACAAATTAATAATTATACATATATTTAAGACATTGGAATGTCATTATAAGGTGATTTGAAAATGTTGAAATTAATAAAGAATATAATACAGTTTGTGTTTCACCTCAAACCTATTTAGAAAATATTAAAAAAAAAATAGTGTCGAATATTGTGAGTATAAATAAAACTTTGGTATTTTAGAAAAAAAAAAACATAAAATAATGGATTTTGTTAACAAATTTTATCCTTTACATTGAACCAAATTTCGGCAACGACTCCAATACGTTTTTCCCAATTTTCTAAAATCCCATGCTCCACTTTTCCGTTAAAACGTCTCAGCCAAAGTGTCCAGGCGCGAGAAGTGAAACACTCGAAATAAATAAATTATATAAAATGTGTACAAACGAATAAATAATATATGCAGACATTTTTTTCGTAGTGGAAGTTAAAGTTCAAAGATGTTCATTAGGAAGAATTTATTTGATTATAGTGAGCAGTTTTTTTATCGCAAATCTTGCGTAGCTTTTTAAACAACTACCTATATTCCTATGTAGATCTTCATCAAAAAATAAAATACTAATTTACCTATTCTATGCCGTTGTGGCTTGGGAAGATCAATACACCATTTTACTGCTGTACGTAGAAAAGTCGTTTTGCATCAACGTTACTTTTTACATTTTTGTAAATCTACATTTCCTATTCTATTTTTTCATAAATGTGTTGGTAAATTTATCTATGTAAGAAAGTACATTCTCTCAAATGTATGTACAGTGCGGGGCGGCACGGAAAACGTACCATCCTCCGTCCACCCCGGGTCATTGGCAGAAACATTTAAAACTAAGACTCACTCGTTTCTTACACAGATACAAAGTTATTCCAGAAGACATATTTTCAATACAATTTAGTTTGAAACTAGGAACATACTGTATCAAAAATATCTACTTTACACATAGTTTCAGTCCTTTTTTTTTAAATCTTGTAATAATAAGTTATGAAAAAATAAAAAACAATCAACTCAGAAAAAAAATCAGCAGCAAAATATACAACTTAGTTACTTTCTTTTCCGTAACTAAACAATGTCTAATCTACCCAATTTAAAAATTGCCAAAGAGTCTTACCTTCACAAATAGCTATAATCTACAAAACTATAAGCATTTGCAATGCTTCTTTAATCTAAAAAATGTTAATTAAAACGTGTGGCAACTTTCAAACGGGATGTCCATTTTTCAAATTTTCCAATTTGTCCAGCATCGTTTCCTTAGTAAGCTTACTTTGGGGGTGCTTGGTAGCTATAGGGATCCTCTGGGCTCGCCGCGTTAGAGGTGTGCTCCGAATCCACGGGAATAGCGTGGATTATCGATGGGTGATTGTAGTACGGGTACGCGGGAGAAATATAGGACCCTGTACCTATTTGCATCGCCCCCATTTGCGTTGCGATCTGCAATTAATTTACCTAATGTCAATACTGTTCATCTTAATACAGAGTGTCTGCAAATTTTACCGACAACGTTTGACTGCATATTCACGACGATAATTAAATACGATCTACGAAAAAAAAGTTAAATAAAATCTTTTTGGTTTTTGAGTTACAGGCCTTCAATGTTGTTAAAAATAAAAGTTAATTTTATTAATAACTTCATAACCCTTTTACCGATCACCTTAAAATTTGGCACATTTATTTGGACTATTATAGTGTATTATTTCTTTACAGTGGTCGTATTCTTTTAATACGGGCAGCAACATTGAAACGGTGGTTTTATTTAAAAAAAAAATATTATCTCTTGAGAAAATCGCCTACAGAAAGCCATTCTTTAGAAAAATGGAATTATTTGCAGGTCTGTATGTTTCGGTTTGCGTAGCAATGTCACAAATTTAAAACTTTGAGTTCAGTAGGCGATCAAAACAAGATGTGGATTGCTGTGGCTATCAGGTAATGTCACTATTGTAGTGTTTCTTTAGGATTCTCATCACTCCACACATACAAATTATGAAAATTTACAACTCCATTCCTTGTAAAACCAGATTCGTCAGTACAAAACAATTTTAAGCAAATTATTATTTTCTGCGAAGCCATTCACTAAGCAGCAGCAAAATTGTAAATGTGCGTTAGGATCTAAATTTTCAAGTTCTTGAGCACGAGTTAAATAAAATGTCCAAAGAAGTTGCTTTTTTAAAGTTCTGTGAACATTAGTTTTACATACATTTGTATTTGTGGTGTGATAAGAATCCTAAAGAAACAGGACAATAATGACATTACTTGATAGCCGCAACAATCAACATCTTGTTTTCATTGCCTACTGAACTCAAAGTTTTAAATTCGTGACACTGCTACGCAAACCGAAACATACAGACCTGCAAATAATGCCATTTTTTTTCAGGAATGGCTTTCTATAGGCGATTTTCTCATGACAATATTTTTTTATTCAATGTGGCTGCCCGTTTTTAAAAAATACGACCACTGTAAACATTTTGACTTCTAAAAGGGAGAGGTAACCGGAGAAAACTATCATCCAGTACATTGATTTGACTAGTTTTAAGAAATAATACGCCATAATAGTCCAAATAAATGTCCCAAATCAGCGATCGGCAAAAGTGTTATGAAGTTATTAATTAAATTAGTTTTATTTTTGACAACTTTGAAGGCTTGTAACTCAAAAACCAACAATTTTTTATTTAATTTTTTTTTCGTAGATCGTATTTATTTATCGTCGTCGGTGAAATTTGTGGACACTGTATAATATTCAACATAAAATTATGTAATCGATTTTATAAAGGAAGTATTAGCCTGTTTATTTATTTTCAAAATTTATAGCACAAGGTTAATTCATTTATACTTATTTACATCATAAGGTAATTTGTTCTTAATTCAAATATTTTTGTAAACCAAATGTACAGACTGGTCCATTTTCGATGGGATTTCAGGGTATCTCAGAAACTACTAAAGATATGATAAATCTGACACCACGTTCTCAAGCTCGATTTTCATGGCAAACTCGTCTGTCAAACCAGAAATTTGCTATCTTCATTTGTTTCTGAGTTACAGGGCGTTTCTCGTTATTGTGACACTTTTGAACATGTCTGTATCTCAGCTGTTAAATAAGTTAGAGTTAAAGTGAAAACTGCTCAAGACTAATTCTTTGGTGTAGAATCGAATGCCGGTATTAGATTTTTAGTAGGTCTTAAGATTCAGGAGTTATGACCCAGTTATATTTTTTTAAATGGAAATCATAGCTGGTCATAACCTAAAAAAATTGCGATTTTTTTTGCTTTTCAGCAATATATCACATGCTATAGTTATTTTTCCAAACACAGAAGATACAGGGTGTTTTATATATAAATTCGATCCTTTTTTACATTTTAATATGGCTGGCTATGAAAATACATACAAAACTATAATTCTTACTTTTACAAAACTCATATCTGTTGTAAAAATATGACGTTTAATTAAAATATATATTACAGATAAGGAAAGGCAGAGTTTTCAAATTTTTATTCCACTTCAACTGAAGTTACAATATTAAACGTAAATTAAACAATAATAAGTACCTACATCAATAAAAACTTTCAAAAATGATAGCTAAATGTTCAAATTGCCGTCCCTCAACTGTCACACATTTCATGCATCTTCTGGCAACGCTTCGGGTAACATTCATTAAATGTATATTTAAAATATTATTAAAAGGAATTTTAAATATAATGCCTTTTAGAAAACCCCTAAGGAAAAAGTCCAACGGACTCAAATCAGGTAACCTAGCTGGCCATCTGATCGGTCCGTTTGTTCCTATCTACGTATCTCCTAAAATTTCGTTAGTATTATATTATCACACGAGTATATGTTGTGCATTTAAAGTACATGTCATATTTTTACAACAGATATGACTTTTGTAAAAGTGAGAATTATAGTTTTATCTGTATTTTCATATTAAAAAGGAAAAAAATATATAATTTATATATAAAACACCCCGTATCTCCCGTGTTTGTAAAAATAACTATAGCATGTGATATATTGCTAAAATGCGAAAAAAAATCTCTATTTTTTTAGGCCGTGGTCACCTACGATTTCCGTTTAAAAAAATCTAACTTTGGGTCATAACTCCGAAATCTTAAGATCTACTAAAAATCTAATACCGGCATTCAATTCTACGCTAAAGAATTAGTCTTGAGCAGTTTTCACTTTAACTCTAACTGATTTAACAGCTGAGATACAGACATGTTAAACAATGAGACAGTAACGAGAAACGCCCTGTAACTCAGAAACAAATGAAGATGGCAAATTTCCGATCTGACAGTCGAGTTTGCCGTGAAAATCGAGCTCGAGAACGTCGTGTCAGATTTATCATATCTTTAGTAGTTTCTGAAATACCCTGAATTCCCATCGAAAATGGACCAGCCTGTACACTTTTGTAATATATAGAATTTGCAAAAATGTTTCTCTTAGTTTTATCGACATGTGCCCTGGTTCTGCAGTTATATAAATGAATTTTTATGAGTTCTATGAATATTTGTTACTGAAAGTTCATGTATGACTATTTGTCAACAGAGTGATTTCCACTGAACATTTTATGGAAAAGAATATTCGCTAGTGAACGTTCACTTATGAATATTTATTAAAGCAATTTTGTTTTACCTAAAAAATCTGTAGGGAAATTATTATTTACAAGCAGAGCTTGGTCAATTATTCGGGCCCTTTGATTTACGCTTTGAACATATGAAGGTGAATATTTGTCAAATCTATGAATATTTGTTAGCGATTGTTCATGTATGAATATTTGTTAGAGTTATTTGTTTTTATATACCACTTAAAATCTTTAGAAAAATGATTATTTGTGAGCAGAGTTAGATCAACTAATTCAGATCTTTTCACTTCCTCTTTACACGTGTTGACAAATATTTGTTGGTGAATGTTAATGAGTGAATATTTACTTAAAAAAATATCTCTTGAAAATTGATTATTTACAAACAGAGCAAACATCTAAAATCTTTAGAGAAATGGCTACTTTTAGACACAGCTAGACTGATTATATGAGACTTTTTATTTCCTCTCTATATTCGTGTGAACAAATATTTGTAAATTCTAAGAATATTCATCAGTCAATGTTCATGTACGAATATTTGTTAAAGCAGACTTTTTTTACATATCACAAATTTTAAGAGAAATTATTATTTGCACATAGATTTATTCAGGCCCTTTGATTTCTACTTCACACTTGCTTACACGAAATATTCGTTAATGAACGTTCATGTATGTATATTGTCAAAATGAGTGACTACACTACACATAATCTAAAATCCTTAGAAAAATGATTATATGGGGTCCATTGATTTCTGCTCCACACATATACATATTATTATGAATATTTGTAATCTCTATGAATACTCGCTAGAAAACGTTCATATATGAATATTTCTTATAGCATCTGCTCTTATGTATCACCTAAATCTGTAGAGAAATTATTTGCGAGTGAAAATAGACCCATTATTCAGGTTCTGATTTCCACTCTACGAATTTATGGACAAGCATTTACAAAGCTTAGCCAGGCTCTTTTGTTACCTCTCGTGAACAAATATTTGCTAGTGAACGTTCATATATGAATATTAAAGTAGTTTAATTTTATATTCACATAAAATCTTTAAGGATAAAACTATTTACAAGCAGAGCTGGACTAATTATAATGGAACTTTTGATTTCCCCTCAACAATTTTGTGTACATGAATATTTGTAAATTCTGTTCATCACTGAATGAATGAGTTTATGAATGAATACGCAAGTAAACAAATATTTTCGGTCCGTCCACATATATCACCTAAAAGCTGATTTGCAAATATAAGATCAAATATAACTAATGAAAAGTAACGTAAATTTTTCGTCCATGTATGTGATAAGTTGTCCGAATATCATATCAAATGTTCATACAGGAACAAGGCAAATGTGGAGATGAGGCTAGAATCAATTACTGATTTTAAATAAGTATCACCACTTGTAATTTTCTTTATTTCTAAATACGGAAAGTGTTAGTGCAGAAAAATTAATTGTTTTACCTGAGGTAACATATTTGTGTATTGTACAGTCCCTTCTGTAGAATTCATTATGACCGGTATACCCCTAGGTGCTTGACCGTCGCTCTTATATTGGGCAGCCATGTGTCCTGGCATTGAATAGGTATCATCCACTTGCTGAAGGGGTGGCGCCATCACATACGGTGAGTACCACTGTGTTCCCGCATATTGAGAAAACTGGAACAAATACACATTATCCATATAAATTTTACAAAAGTTCCAACCACAGAAATTAGCGATTTTATTAATGTTTATAACTGTCGTTTATAGTGTTCTATAAGTGTGCTTAATTTTTCAGTGGTTTCTAATAGATTTAGCAGTTTTCTAGATTGTTGATTATTATTTTTCATAAATCGTCTATAAAAGTCAAATAGAATATGTATCAAAAAGGTACAGCTGTCTGAAACCAGACAGGCATTCCTAAATAACTGCGAGTACAATTATTTTCGTATAATACGTTCTCGAACTTCCAAAACGGTACCTAACGGTGTCGAAAAAAAATGACGAAAAGTTGATTTTCAAGTTTCAAGACATCAGTTTGCTCAAAGCTTCGGCAAAAATGCAGAGTTTAACATTTTCCAAACATTCAAAAAAAGAGCCTTCAAAGTAGAAGACCCCTCGACTCGATATTTTTAAAAATAAGGCACGTCCTAAAGAAGCGGTTATCTCACCTGATGATTTGGGAAATGCCTATAATTAGACAGAGCAGGCATCATAGGCTGTCCGGCGACGCCGTTAGCCGCAAGAGAAGCCGGATCGTAAGTGACCGCTGTGATGGCCTCTGCGCTGTCTCTCCATATCTTGGCGTTATCGTTATTCTTGTACATATTCTTCTTCTTGTTGCCCCCATCCGCGAACTTAACGAGAAGGGGATCCTTGCAACCCTGCAGGGCGTTGCCGTTGAACATTTGGATGATGTGCTCGCACTTCTCCTTGCTCTCCATCCTGGCAAAGCCAACTCCCTTCGACACTCCTGACGAATCGCGGAGTATACGAGTTGATATTACCTAGGGGGAATTTTAATATTTTTATGTGATCGGTTCGTTGTCGAGCGGTTTTTTACCTGGCCGTATTTTGACAGCAAGCTGTCTAGGTCTGATTCCTTGAAGTTCGGTGGCAAATTGGCTATGTACAAGTTTGTCGGATCCTGTTCCTGTTGCTGTTAACAAATGGATTCTATAGATATTTTAACACAACTCGTACCAACAATGTAAATGTAATATATACAAAATTTGTATTAACCGTATACAAAATTACTTTCTCTTTATATACAATTTTTATAGATACGGTAAATATTATATTGTACACTCGACGCAAGATAAAGGTTTCCAATCTGAATCGTATTTTGTTTGAAATATGATGGCTTAACCGCTTGTCTATATGGGGTGTTTCCATTAAATTCGTGTGGCAATATTTTACCGTCACATTTGACATTTTACGAGTTTTGTACAAAAACTGGTAGATTGGCATTTTTAAAATGGGACTAATCGGCAAACTCTTATAGCAGACCCCGTATGCATTTTTTATTATCTTGTTTCTATTAAAAGAGTTGTATTTACATTACAATAGAAAAATCGATTCATCTTAGCTAATAAATCTTGCGAAATGTCTACTACCTACTTACGAATAGTTAGATTGAATGGATTTAAGAAAATTAAAAATTTTATTATTTTTTTTTTTAATATTGAAAACCCTGCAACTTGGAAACGGCATCCTTAAGAGCCTAAGTGTGTGCAACAAAATTTATTTAATTTTAGCCACAGAATGGGCCTCTGGATTTTCTGTACGCCATTAATGAACACTGTATAGGTGCCCGCAATGTAATCAGTTGTTTCTTATAAAAGTTGTAAAACATATAATTCTACATAAAAATGGCCTCTTGACTTTTTCTTGTACTATTAAAAATTAACAGAGTTATGGAGGCTTGAAGTTAAGGGAAGATTATTATTAATATAATAAATTTTGTAATTTTTTTTCAATCTACTCTAAAAAATGTAACTTTTCTTTTCAGAGAAATATATATAATTTTTAATAAGAAAGTTATAACAATTTCAAATTTTTAATCGTTAATTTTAATGATGTAACAAAACTAAAAAAAAATTTTTTCTATACTATTCGATTGATTATTTAAAATAATGAAAAGTTGCCTTCGAATTTTTTTTACGTTTGTTTTTTAGACAGATACAAATTTATTTACTTTTTTATATTTTGAATTTTATTTAGCTCCTACGACACTGCCAGGACAATTTATTTATTTAGAAAAAACCTAATTTTAAATTTCTTTCGACATCTATCTCAGAAAGGAAACATTTCCGGACCCAAAATGTAATGAACTTATACACTTATTTTTACTTCCAGAACACGTCCTTAAAATATTTCCCTTTCCTCCCGAAACTATATAAGTTATAATAAAACTGTAGTTTACAATATTTTTTTATTTTGTTGTCTTCATGACCTACCTACCTACTTTCTGCAGAATATGACACAAATACTTATTTCAAAATATTAATTTTTTCAGGGACAAGAAAAATAATGTGGCAAGGCAAAATAATTTCAAAACCTGTATACTCTTCTCTTTTTATAATGCATATACTTTAGGCCTGCAATATTTTGTTGTGTCCTTACAGATGTGCCTACACAAAAAAAAAATGACGCCCCTAATTATTGATGCCTCCCAAAATTTCTATTAATAGTCCACCGGCTCGCTCCTTTAAAAGTAGTATGCCTTTTAGGTTGGAAACCTTTATCTTGCGTTCAGTGTACATATATCTTAACTGTCATTTAACTTTTAAAAAGTCATTTTTCAAAATTACAAATATTTAACAGAAATAATTATTTCAATTTACATTTACATTATGAGGACCACTGTCTGCATGAAAGGACATAATTTACGCCAGGGCTTTAAGAATTTCAAATTTGCCAAGTCAATGTCAGGACCTCAATTTTTTAGTTTCATACTCTCTCTAGATTATGTCTTACCTCAATGCACTGTGTTGGACTCTGCTAAAAAAAAATAATAACTAGTTTTAAGAATAAATTATAATTAATTTATGCATAATCTTCATTCTTCACCCAAATCTTAAATTCATAATAAAAAAAAACCTATTCGATAAATTAAAAACAATATCGGCAAGATAAATACTAACACAAATTTCAAAATTGCACCGTTTAAAAAGCTAATCCATTAAACTACTAAAAAATGAATTTAACAAAGAAACACCAAATTATCGAAAAATATAAAACGATAATCACTACAAAAACAGTTTAGTCAACATCCTATCCACTTAATTTGTCATTCTTTTTATCCACATGTACATAACTACTCATAGTACACTGCAAGTAATTAATTTAGAACAGGCAATTGACTGAAAACTAAAAATCACTGGTTTTAGTAGTAACAACATAATTCTAATTACGGCAAACTTTAATTTAAAGAATAGATTGTATTAGACAAATAACGAATATTCCTATTTTGATTTTGATTTTGACGCCATATCTTGTGCTACTGGGGATGTTATTATGGTAATATAGAAAATTTTAAAGTTATATGGCAAAATTTGCACAAATTTGGTTTTGAAGTACCTACACATTTCATAAGATGCTTATTAAAAAAATATATTTAATCTTTTTAATCGTATTTGTATAAAAAATTAATATTTAAGAGTTGTATAATACCAGTGTGATATTCCTGGCATACGTACCAGTGTGCAGTCAGCGGTTCTCAACAAGTTTTTTTTATAAAAAAATCATGTAATTTATTTTCTATCACGCGCACTCGCTATGGGACCTATAGTGTAGGGGGTTAGGTGCACGGAAAGTGTTAGATAGCTCCAGCGTTGCGCTATGAAAATAACATCACGCTGTTGTACTATCTAGCACTTTCCGTGCACCCCCTATGCTATAGGTCTCATAACGACTCGCACTTGTGATAGAAAATAGTATGTGCAACTTTTCCCCACTCGTTACACAATGTACTATTAAAAGTGAGTTCATCATTCCCAATTTTTATTGCAAAAAGCTATTAATAACATGTTCTATGATCTACACAGTAAACTGTTTAAAATATATGCATATTTAAGTTTTATACTGTATTTTGAAAAATGACTTTAGTGATACATAAAAACTTCAACTTTCTCTACAGACCAATAAAAAGTTTGTTCTTTGAAAAATTTAAAGGCATTAAAAAATTTACCACTGTATTTAAAAAAATAGTATCAAAGAATTATTTTAAAATTTGAATCAACACCATTTTGTTAATTTAAGTCCTTAAATATTAAAATAAATATCATAATGCCATTTACAAAACAAAATTGCGCACTTAAATTTTCTGAACAATTTTTGAGAATATTCAGTCTGGAAACTATGAGAAAAACCGCATACTGAAATAATGCGAAATATTTTAATAAACATATTTACACTCAACAATTATATAAAAATTACTTACTCTATAAACTCTATAACAAATTGGAAAGTTTTGTCAGACTTTTTAATACCGTCTAACATTATTTAATTTTTTGGAAAACTACAAATAAAAATGTACAATCAATTTTCTAGTCAATAAGGCCATTTATCGCTTTAGAGTTTTAGAAATATGTTTTCTTCTTACCATGTAAGACATTTATAAAGAAAATACTTTATTGAAAGCTCATTCTCTAAATAATTTGATTTCAGTTTCCGTAAAAATAAATCTAAAAATTGTTTACTATATTTTTTTAATTCTGATTTTTTCGTACCATATCCAAATTTGAAAGAAATGGTTATATTGAAAAAATATAATTTAAATATTTTCCTCTTAGTTTCCGAACACTGTAAAAACGAGGCAAAAATTGTGCACGATATTTTTTAAGATTCATTACATTATTTAAAATAGAGAAATGTGAATGACTTGAAGATTCTCTTTGCAAAATTAGATGTAAATGAGGTAATGTTGCACATTTATAGTGTTTTTAGTAAATGGCATCCTTAAAATAAATAAATGATCTTGAAAGCAGCAAATTAAAGGTATCAGATTAAAAAGTAAAAAAATTAAGTGAAGTCAAAATCTTCAATTTGCCACAACTGAAGTACCTAATGCAATGATCGAGTGTTAAAACATAAAAAAACACACTTCATTAAATATTATAAAATAATGTTAGTTGGGATAGTGCCACAATCCGATTAAATCAACTGTACAAAATAATGCAAATGTTACTTATATTCTGTACAACATGCACAATGCCTTTATTTTATAATAATGTACAGCCATATAAATTCCTCTTATGTTGTTCAGGCACTTATTAAATAGGTTAGTTTTAACCAAGCCACTTCGGTATTTTCACAAACACTTAGACTCTTTCAAAATTAATTGCCATGTTAATAAAACACAATGGTCGGATCAACACAACAGCAAGGCAGAAAAATCGTCCGTTAATCAATAAAAAAATAAAATAAAAAGTAGCAATAACTTCCTACACATTTTGAATTGGGGTAGACAGTGAAAGAATATTAAAAAATAAAGGGTTTTTCAGAAAGAGCTACCGAATTTTATTAGTAAATAAAATACAGTGTAGTGTGTATAATCTATAAAAATTAAACTACATCCTGATGATATTTGTAATAAAAAAGTCTTATACGAAAAAGTGCTATCTTCGCGTTTTTTTTGTAAATTAAAGTTCATTTATTTAACGAAATTGAAGGTCAACGCTGTGTTATTTATTAAAAACTTTGGAAATGTTTTTATGCGACCCGAGATGCAACCTTATAATTTAAGTCGGTATAATCTAATACTACTAATAATAAAAGGTTAAGTTACATTGTCAAAAAATTTGTGCAGTCAACTGATTTTGTATTTGCATTGAATTCATTATTCACAATCCTACAGTGCATTCAGCGGCTGCGATACGGGATGCGTTATTCCTTGAGGAGAAGGACGTGGTCAGCAAGTGAACTTTAATGTTGAAGATAGTGTTGGAAAATCTTGACGAAGACCCCACAATTAGTACTTGATAACTTGCACAGCAAGTAGGAACCTCATCTCGTACCGTACATCGCATCTTAAGGCGCCAGCTGTTGCACCCCTATCATCTGCAACCAGTTCAACAGATTTTACCCCTGAATGTGATCAACGAATGCGTTTTTGCAGATGGTTTTTACGGCAATGTGCCAATCAAGTAGACTTTCCTGCTTATATTTGTGCAATTGATGAGGCGACATTTACCCGTAATGAAGTGAATTTCCATAATATGCACATATGGGCCGATGAAAATCGTAACGCGGTTAGGGAAACTCATTTTCAACATCGATTTCGATTCTCGGTAAATGTTTGGGCTGGCATAATAGGCAATGTACTTGTGGGTCCCTATTTCTTTGAAGGATAACTAAATGGACCAACATATGTTGACTTTTTGGAAAACCGGTTGCCTGAATTATTGGACGATGTGGCATTACAAGTTCGGGCATGCATGTTTTATCTTGGGGCTTCCCTGCACAATACTCGAGAAGTAACGACACTTTTGAATGAAATGTTTCCTCAGCGATGGATTGGACTCTTTGATCCTGTGCCGTGGCCACCTCAGTCACCCGATCTAACTTCAATGGACTTTTATCTTTGGAGTCACTTGAAGTCATTGGTTTACAATACTCCAATTGCTACGGTGGAAGAATTGCGAAACCGTATACTTGAAGCTGCTGACACAATTAGGGGAATATCTGGAATTTGGGAAAATATTCGCCAAAATTGGGTGCGTCTGTGCCATGCCTGTATCCGCGCTAATGGGGATCAATTTCAACATTTTCTCTAGAAATGGTAAGTTTTATTTCATTTTGTTCCATATTTTAATGGAGTTTGCTTAGTGCTTGCAGTTGGCAACTACCGATGCTTAAGGATGTGGTTTTGCAGTAACAACAATGCATTTAAGATAGTAATTACTATTAATTATTATAATAAGAAAAGACCAGTTACCAGTTAAATACCTATTTTTCTTAGTTTGTAATTTTGCATTGAAAAATTCCCCAAAAATTGAGAAGTATCTTTCTATTTTTCAACGACGATTTGTTTACGCAGCTGGTCTACGTAACTCATCGTACAGCACATGGACAGGACAGTTCCAGAGAAAATATTTTGATCCATAATTGAACTTTAATTTTATTCAAAAAAGCAAAAAAAACTTTTTCGTATAAGAGTTTTCTATTACAAATATCGTTAGGAAGATGTAGTTTAATTTTTATAGATTACACATGCCACACCCTGTATACAGTAAATGAGAAAATTTTAATATTATCTATTACAATTAAATGTGAAAAACAGTAGGTATCTGTTAAATAGCCACCGCGGCTTTTTTGGCATGACACAATCTTTTTAGATGCAATGACGTTCAAACACATTTGTGGTAAAACCTCTTAAATTATGCCTCCAACCTCAGTTTTCGAATCGTGAATGGTTCATGGATTGTTCACATAGCCCCACAGAAAGTAATCGAGAGGCGTTAAATCGCACCATCTTGGCAGCTAGTTGACATCACCGTTTCGTGAAAAAATTCACCCTCTGAAATGTGTTCGCAATAAATCCATAGTTTCGTGGGTGGTGTGACATGTCGCACCATCTTGTTGAAACCACATATTGTTTACTTCCGTATCAATTTAAGCAGGCCACAAAAACTCATAAGCGTTTGAGTCTTCATTTGCAAAAAAAGTGAGGCCCGATTACGCTGCCAAACAGTGGCACGTTGCAAGTGCATTAGCTTTTTATAGATGCCTTTTGGATTTTCACTGCCCCAAAATGTGGCAGTACTGTTTGTTAATATACCCACTTAAAGTGAGTTTCATCACTAAAAATTATCTTCATGGAAAAATCGTTACGATCTTTTCGCTTTCGAGCACCCAGTTAACAAACGTGCATCAATGCATGTGATTGGCATAGGCGGAGCCAAAACTTTTGTTAAAATTCGCCATGTTGTGGTATGTATGGGTAAAGCTCAATTGCTGCGAACGGTGTGTAATAGAATTTTGGATATTCAGCCACACTTTCACGAATCGCAACAATATTGTCAATTGAATGGCCTACATGAGCACGTACTGGTGTTTTTACGTCTCTAACGGACCCTTAACCTCAAACTTATGCACTATACTGCAGTTTGTTTTTTCTGTTGAGTGATTATGGGGACCAAAATAATCGCCAAGTCTGCGAAATGTGTTTACTACAGAAGATGCATTTTCATATTAAGTTTTAACGATATAAGCACGTTGCGTTGTTCTATTGTTTATGCCCCATGTACTTGTACTAACCTGTATAGTAAAAATACAGTACTTAATCCTCAAAACACATTACTATATGATAAGTGAAACATAAAAACTCTCGGTAGCTCTTATTGGAAAACCCCTTTATTCACCAATAATTTTTTTTTAACTTTTCAATCCTGCAATTAAAATCAAGTGGAAAATACCGAAAATTACTATCAGGATTTATAACATAAAAGAAACTTATCAATATTAGATATCTATGATATACAGTGCCCGTTTCACAACTCTAATTAATAGGAACTGTCTATGAGCAGGCATTAATCAATTTCGACTCTTTTGAAAAAATAAAAATAAATTTAAGGTAATTATTTCTCTGGGTAATACCATAAGAATCTAAAAATATCATGCATCTATGCATAGCACGTCACAAGGTCTAGACTACTAGTAAATAATAAATAAAAACTAAAATCAAATCTAGTGTGTGCCTTTTAATCAAATTAAAATGCAGGGTATCTAGTATAAAATTAGCTTTACCACTAGAGTTGAATTTTGTTATTAAATCGGAGCTCTATCACAGGTCTTCCTCATCTTTCAGGCAGACTGAAGAACGAAAGTTTTTGCATAAACAAACAAAATATGAAATGAGGGAAAATAATTAAAAAGATTCGAATCGTCACACAATGAACTGCAATTTCCATTTCCGTGTTACAGAAAAGTCAAGCCGTTAACCACAGATTCTTTGGGTGAAAATGATCGAACTGTTAATTCAAAAGTATATCTAAATACATCTTATAAAATGAGTTATTATTGTCAAACACCTTTAAAATAAGCTTTTATTATGCCCGTTCATAAGACAGGAATAACTACATAGAAGTCGGAAGGTAGTTGGAGGGGTGAGGCGGTTAGAGAGGGGAGATGGTTGGGGAGGGGGTAAGATTTTACGTGGGTAATTGTACGTGTTTATTGGTGTTGCCTGTTGTTACTTTTTCAAACCAACATAACAAAACTAATGGAGTACAAGAAGGCACAACTACAATGGAAAACGATTTTGTGCCATATTTTAAAGTGACCATATTTTTTAATGTCAATGCAGGTTAAATGCCCAACATTAAAAAAAATTTCCAGTGTTTTTAAAATTATATTTTTTACATGATTCATGAAATATTAACCATTCATATGTGGATAGGCACCCATTACTAATTATTGTAACTAATGTATATTCTTAAATAATTATTTTCACTGATTATAAAATATTCATAATAAAAAATAAATAAAAATACCTACTAACCTAACAGATTTGAAATAGTGCTTAAAATTATTGCAAGTTTTTAATAAAGTTTTTGTTAGTATTTTTTTGAAGCACTGTGTTTAGTTTGCGAATATAAGTGTCATTGACCCAGTTTAGGTGAATATCAATCCACCTCATGTGATATGACAACAGGGCACTAGGTGGGCAAAAAACAAACTGCCAGAATGTCACCGCTTCTTTTTACTACAGTTTAGCCACCAGTTAAAAGAAAAATATGAAACAAAATTTTAGTTTTCAAGACAGAATTTGCGAATACAAACCTACATGTGTTTCTGAAGGTCAAAGGTAGTCTTCAAAGTTACATCTCATGTACTTACTATTAGATGGTGGCACTCCAAAAAAATGCTCATCCTCAGTTACTAAGAGGTTTTTGATAGTGTCGCCATCTACCATTCCTATACCTAAATTTGACCGATTGTCTAAATGTGGATAGAAGCTGAAAATGTTCGTGTAAAAAGCAGTATTTCTTATGTTTGTATTGTTTCCTGAGGGGATAGAGTTAACTTAAACCTTGATTTTTAAATTTGCCTAATTTCTGCAAACAGGTTAATGGTAAAATTAAGAGAATCTAAATCTTTTCCGACAATATTTTAAAGTATACTTGGTTTTTCATTATACTACATAAAAAATTTATAAAGAATAAAAAATAAGTTTGATCCAAAAAAAAAACAATATCTTTGAACCATAGAAATCCATAGAAAAAGATCATTAGCTAATAGGATTCATTTTCGTCCAATAATATTTAGATTTTTTTTGTACTAAAAATTGAATACCTTGAAAAAAAATGGAGTTATAACAATTTTTTCTATTTTAATTTTAACATACCTTGAACAAGAGGCGCCTGAATAAAAAAATGGCATAAGGAAAGTGTTACATTCTCCTAAGAAATCTATGGTTAACTGTTTGACCTACTTTCTTGTTACTCCCTATATGAAAAAAGACTTCTGTGGAGAATGAAACCAAGGACATAAAGGGGCTGTTTGGATTTCGTTATCATAGCAGAAATACCCAGTAATGTAAGGTTATTTTTCAAACAAATCTTCTCGGAACTGAAAATTATCCTCCATTGCGAACATTTAATGAAGACTGATCAAAATAAACTCAGATGTAAGAAAAAGTGCACATAAAAACGAATCGGTTAAAGGAACATATTAAGACTGTGACAGAGCTCTTAGGTAAAGCTAGGTATTACTTGCATGCAAACGTACAGTGGCTTGTCTACGTTGGTGATACCAAATACCCACTTTCGCCATTTGCGCCTGAATGTTTTTCGCAGTAAGAGCCTTCACTGCGCCTTCGGCCGCTGCCGGACTCTCAAAATCTACAAATCCGTACCCTGCAAGAGAAGGAATTCGCTGTAAAATTATCAAAGGATTTGTAAACGGCATCTGACGCCTTACCTTTACACTTGTTAGTATTTTTATCTAAAATCGCTTTGGTGGAAATGATTGTACCAAATCTGAAAAAGAAGATCCGTGATACAAACAAGTATATGCCTGTTTAACCAGAACAACGGAATACATTAATACATATGTCTTGATACTCGGGAACTTGCGAAGAATTCATCACCGTAAACTGTTTACAGGGTTAATGTAATTTTTGTATGGAACAACTGATTTTGATAAACGAGGCTTCAAATTGTTCAAAAAAATTGCCCTCTAAGATTTACGGGTCTACTCAAATAACGTCACTCTTCTTAAACCGAGTCCAATATTTCACAAAGTTAGCCTATATTTCGAAAAAAATGAAAGTGGTCCAGCTGGGCTCAATCATTTTTATGCGATTTATGATTAACGAGCTACCACGATTGGTCGGATAGATTTCAAGGTTCATTTTCGGATTTTAAAGTTACAAAGTTTGTTCACATCACATGAAATACTAGCGCTACTTTTGGTTTTCAATCATCTCAATCAGTTGACCCATTCAAAAGTTACGAACAAAAATATTGTTTCATACGTTACATCTCAATTTCTGGGCTGTATCTCATTTTCTCTAACGATTTATAGATGTTTCCACGTCAAAATAGTAAAATAAATTGTTATAAAAGGTGTGTACGAACTTGGAGATTTATTTTCAATGGGAGGTTATGATAAAGGAAGGTGACTGCTAAATATTTACCTTCCTAAAAGTGGAAATAAATACTTTTCTAAAGATACACACCATTGTTTGAGAACCGCAGACTTTCGTTAGTTAATACCACAAAATATTAATAGTTCTGAATTATTTGCTGGCTTTTTTTGTTTTAACAATACATCTGGTGCTCATATTCAAATTAGATGATTCTTCACATCAAAATGTTTCGGTAAAATTTAAATAACAATGCCACAAAACAAAAATGGGTTGGACCATGGACCATATCATATAGTATTTGACCCACTGAATCCAAATCTAAAGATAGAATTCTCAGAACAATTCGTGTTTTGCTCTTAACATCAAGAAACTCCTATAGAAAGCAGTTTCCGAGATTCCCAACCGACTATATCAGTCAGTGATTAGAAAAACATTGAAATTCATGATCTTATTGCATCACCACTTCAGCATGCATCAAATGTTGCAAAATTTGTAATAAATACTCAGTCAAAGAGACCGTGTTACTGGTATGTTACAACATTAAAAACTTATGGTGATGTGTCTCGTATAAGAATACAACATATCATTCCCTCCCAACACCAGCAGTTCTCAACATGAATTGCACTTTCTTTTTTAATTAATGTCGGCAGTGATTAGAAAAACATTGAAATTCATTATCTTATTGCATCTTGACTTCAGCATGCATCAAATGTTGCAAAATTTGTAATAAATACTCAGTCAAAGAGATCTTACTGGTCTGTTACAACATTAAACACTTATGGTGATGTGTCTCGTATTAAAATACAACATGTCATTACCTCCCAACTCCAGCAATTCTCAACATGTTTGCCCTTTTTTTTAATTAATGTCGGCATTTGTTTATCTATTCATCTTTTGCATGGTGATTTAATGTAATAAAAATAGATTTATACTTAAAAAATAATTTCCAAGTTTGTAAACATTGTAAATATTTTGTATAACAAGTATATTTATGCATAATTTGCAAGCAGATAACAATAATTTTTTACCAATTCTGATCCGAGGAAAAAATCACTTATTTAATAATCGTCAAATTATTTTTTGTCGATTGCTCCACAGAAATTCCAAAAAATTCGTACTTACTGTTGGCACATATTAACTAGGTCTTTGTCAGTGGTTCCAGGGTTAAGTCCTCTAATGTACAAATTAGTTTTCGAAAGCTGCTCTGATCCTGATGAGGAGTTGGTAGAGGAGGAATTCGTGTTATTATTAGGCATGTTGTTGCTAAGGGATGTCGATACGTTGCCGCTCTGGCTACCTGTTTGACTACTGGAGCTGCTAGCATTAGACGGGGAAGTGGCTGTTGGCACTCTCTGGCTACCGTACTGGAACAATACCACCAATAATTAGCAGTCAAAAATTTTATAAAGTCTATCAGAATCACTTTTGTTAACAGAGACGGAGAGTTGGTCACATTTCCAATTTCATTTCATTGCAAAGGTTGAGCAATATTTCTCTATAGTTACACATTGTTGAAATATTTTTTAAAATATGAAACAAAAATGTTTTTCAATTTTAATATTTAGATTGCCTGCTTTGATTTGTCACTAGAAAATATTTTTATATTCAGTGATATGTTTAACACAAATAAAAAAACTATTCGGATAACCAAAAACTTTATGAAATTTGTTTGTATATGCAGAAAAAAAAACGTATTAACTTATTGTGAAAATATAATTTTATAATCTTGGTTTTGACATTCGTTGTAGATAAAACAATCCTGATTATTTTAATTTCATCATACCTACACGATACCAAAAGGTGAAATATTATGTGGTTCAATTCAATTAAAGATAAGATAAGTCGAACAGATAAATTTATTCAATAAAATGCAGTAAAATCATTACCGACAGAAATTACATAGATAAAAATCAGTAAATTCTGGTTAAACGTCTTCTTAGAATTTTGAACCCAACTTGTTATTTATTAAATCAATAACGTTTACTAATCAAGCAGTGTATTATTTGAATGAGATACCTTAAATGGGTAGTAAAATTTGAGTACTTTGTACGAAATGTTAAGTGTAAGACAGATAAGAAACTGTTAAAATTCATTAACAAATGATATGATTCAAGTTCAAGTTTGGTTACAATCATTTGAGGTTTCTTTCTCTTTTATGGTTTTCTTGTGAGTCACAGTTCACAGAAGACTTGTTAGATGTTACAAGTTCCAAGTCTTCGGTGACTCCTCGGAAAACCATAAAAAGAGAAAGAAGATAGCTTCTGTTTCTAGCTAAATTCGAATTATGCCGTTGAACTAGTTGTATTACCTTATATAACCAAAGATCATACCAAGAGAAAAAAAATTAGAAGTACTTATACTTATAGTAAGAAGTATAAGTGTGCAAATCATTAAATCTCATCCTTTTTTCATCTTTCGCATTTCTCTCATTTAATACATATTAGGGATTTACGAAAATTAACTGGTATGATCTAAATATATCCTCTCTTTCTAAAACCATAGACCATTACAAAGATAGCAATCTGAGCTCTGGGAAGAATTTTCGTAATTCCCTATTAAATTTATATGAGATCATTTTGAACATTTCTCTCAAAAATAAATAGTCAATGGTTGGGAGAATCACAATTTCCTATCTTTCAGAATAACACAGGCACATAAAAAAGATGCCATCCTTGTATTTGGACTTACAGAAGCCATGAGAAATGCTTCATCACTTTCCAGTTTTCTTTTTAATTGCCGAAAACCACCTGAAAACCTTAAAACCAGCAAAAGTTCTGCATTCAGTAGGTTTTTTCTTGGGCACAGCCCTGGAACAAGTCAACGCATCGTATTTATGGATCTCATTGCATATTTTAAGTATTCGAAGGCTCAATTAACCACTGCAACTCTTCAGCTTTGGGTGAACACTAGAAAACCCTTTGTAGGGCCACATGTCCAGAGTAAGCCCACCAAATGTAAAGCTGTGGTAGATTTTGAGTTTTCGGGGAGAAGGGGGTTTCCGGAATTGATCAAGAAGTGCAGGATTATAGGACTGATTTTGTCTTTTTATGCCCGGAATATGCCTGCAGTATATTCCTGAGTTTTAAATCTTGGTTTAAGTTTTAGACTGAAAATCCACTAAATGTACGATTTTATCTGATTTTTAGGTTTTAGTAGTAATATACCCAGAATATGCAGTGCGCTCCACAAATATGATACATCGACTAGTTTCCAGGGCTATAACATCGGACCAACTTACTATTTACAGGTGGTTTTTGACAATTTTTTAAAAAATGGGACGGCAAAGCATTTTCTCTCGTAGATTCGGTTTATAGGGGTGCAAATACATAGGGTGGCATGTCCATGGGTAATAACCCGTGGACAGACTATTTTTTTCTTTTTTGTGTGCCAGTGTTAATCAAGATACTCTAAACCAGCGTTTCTCAACCTTTTCACATCGCAATCCAACAAAATTTGTACTGGTACCATGATCCGGATATTATTAAAGATTTATTCGTTATATTTCAGTCTAACAAAGTGGAAGAAACTGTAACAACAGTGAGAGCTAATGTAATTAAATCAAATCTAATTCAATTTCTTGCTAAGAAAGATAATAAAATTATAAATTAAAAAATAAAATAAAATGAAGATAACTAAGAAATAAATTCAATGAAACTCAATGACTCGGTTGATGTTCTTGTTTGACTTCTGCTAAAGTGTTAATAAAATGCTCTACAGTAATCTGCCACCAATGCTGGGTCGTTACCCAAAGGTTGACAAACGCTGCTCGAAACTTTTGGCAGACAATGTTCCAGCTTACCGAATTAGAATTGTTGTAGTTACTGTTGCTGGTGGTGCTGCTGGGCGTGTAAGAGTTCTGTGCCGGGGAGACGGCGGCTGCCGCCGCCGCCGAGGCCTGTGCCTGGGCCGTGTTGACCTGGGCGGGCTGCTGCGCCTGGGGAGTGTACCTTTGATAGTAAGTAGCGCCTGCGGCCGGGTGTTGGTGCTGGTGACCGGCCCCCACGTTGCCCCACTGGCCGCGGTAGCCCCCCGGAGTCTGGTGCTGGGTGGCCATGGGCCCACCGCCACACCCCTTCACTCCGCCCCCGCCGAACGACGCTGTTGCCGGCCTATTTCCAGACCCGCCTCCGTTGCTAGTCTGAAAACGAAAAATTCTATTAGAAAATGAAAAAAAAAAAACAAACTATTATATGGGTTGTACACCTATGTTGACGCTGTCACAAATTTTAACGCCTTAATATTTTAGCATAAAATAATTACCTGCAAAACAAATTTAATTTTAGTCATAGGTGTACAGTTCTAAAATAAGAAAGGGGTGGTATTTAAAAAAAATATATTCTATTAGCAATTTTTTTATCTACAAGTTGGTAATATATTATAAAGTATCATCTTTCGAAATCTCTGCACCAAATTTAAATAAAATATCTTTAAAATTGTTCAAGATACGGGTACTCAAACATTTAGTGTTTTAACTTTAGCGTAAATATTAGTTTTATAAACATACTACCACATTTTAAAAAAAAACTTTTTTATCTAGCAGTTCAAAAATATTAAAGTAGGAACCCATATGCAGCTAATATTTTCGCATTTATTGAAAATATTCACATCAAGTAGTACATGGTAAAGAAAAAAAACAAAATTACAACTAAATAACAATCTTAATTTCTGGGACACTATTAAGGAAAATGTTTATAAGAATAGGATTTGTATTAGAGGATTTAGAAAATAAATGATTGCTCTGAATTTTAAAAATGATTCTAATTTAGTCCTTTATATTAACCACCATTCAGTATTCTAATGGATTTTTCTCATCTGACAGTTTACTTTTACTTTTATTACTTTTGCTCTACAATAATACAGACTTCAAACTTAATACAGTTCAATTAATTGCCTCATAGTCTCAATTTAAACAAAATGTAACTGGTGGCCTCAAAATGAAAGAGGTCTCAAAAGTCATATGATATTGAAGATAACCTTCTTAAGGGCCCCATATTCTTTAAATAGTGTTTTCCGCAAAGACAAATAATTTCAAACATTTAATAACTGAATAATCTAAAGCTTATCAAATAATAGGAATGTTATGTTATGCCACCTGAGTATTTTCAAAGACGCCGCAGTAAAACGAATAAATAGGTGCAAAAAACGATCAAACCATCAAGGTTTTAGGTACTGAAATCTGCGAAAATACTAACTTTTTTATATATAATTCCACATGTAAATATTCTTATAACATTTACTTGCTTAGTCCTACATATAAAATTGTTTACTTTTATTTATAAGTACGTGAAAATAATTCTTAAAATGTGGGGTTAGGATAACAGCAAACGCGTGTTTTACAAACGCTTTTTTTTAGTTATTATTTTATTTGGGTAAATTTAAATGGTAACAATGAATAAACAAAACATCAAGGATTTTATTTTTGTGCTTACTTTTGTTCTACACGTTTTATTTTTAAAGATTTCAGTACCTAAAAACGCCAGAAATTTCACTATTTCTCGGCCAGGAATATGGCCACCTTAAATAGATTTGAATAAACTATTTCCAATGAAAGCTTTTTTGAAGAATGCACCTTTTTTTAATACAAGTCCAAAAATCAAAGCAAGGTTAGGAGAAAGAACTATTTTACAGGCCTGGGTTGATACCTTATATTATAAAGCGTGAATTTAATAAAGTAATAAACAATGATATTCTAAGGAACAACGTTTTTGCAGGCTAATGCCTGCAATGGCATTGAATCATACCCATAATACTTCTACTGATCATTCATCAGTAGAACTTCCAGACAAATACCGGTATTGAACTTATTAGTTCTCATCAGTATACTATAGGTGACACAACTAATGAATGGTTTAGCTATTTCGGACTCAATCTACAGACAGCATAACTATAGGTGAGACAACAAAATGTACTACATCTTAAATAGTCACTGCTATGCAATGTCTAGGCCAAACTAGATAAATGATCTTAGCTGTTTACTAGATATTGCAGGTATAATTCGGTTGGGGGCATTAGTCCAGAGAGTAGTTGTTTCCACCTCACCATATATTAAACTTTTGTTGTTGTGTTAAACCTAGGACAACATTGGCCTTGCTTTCATAATACATGTGGATGAGCAGGTAGCACTTTGCCAGTTTGGCTGTGATGATGGTCTAGAGTCTAGCTAGGTCATCCTTCATTCTTGACCACTGAATGTTAGTAATTAGGGCTTCTCAATGTAACTGTTTCTGGGCGCAAATACGACCTGTTGAATTATAATATGCTACCGCCTCTCTGGTATGTTTCCGCTTCCTTGCGGTTAGAAAGAGGCAGAGCATTTTTTAAATAGTGAAGTAGGCGACAACAATGTCACCTGCTGGTGAAAATTAGTCGCCCAGTGATTAAAATGAAACAGTAAATAATAACAAACGCAAAACGAGTTCATAGACTGTATTCGGAAGAAATATCATTATCTATTTCAAAATTCCTCTCCATAAAACCTCAAAAATTTTTCGTGTATTCTGAGCTTCGTCGGCCAGTGATTTTGGGTTTAAAAATGCACTGCAATAAGGAGTAGACATATTATTATATCATATAATAAACAAAACAGAAAAATTAAATAATAAAACATACTAGCTAGACACTGCAGCTCTATTAGCTTACATGTTGCTTGGGGAATCCCAGTCAGTGTGTGGGGGGAATATCATCCATTTTATATCATGGGCCTTTTTTTAACTCTCAGGTTTAATTTTTAATTAAATCTTTGTCTGCAACTTAAAAAAAAGGCATAAGTAAATCTATATTATTACATTAAGTGTAAAGTTTTAGTTTGTGTATTATACATTAGTTACAGTAGTTAGAGATAATTGGTAGTTATGTCTAAGGAATAAAATTTCAGTTATTAAATTAAAATTTAAATTTTTCGCAATTTATGTTATCAAAGAACTGTAGGTGATAATGATTAGAGTAAGTAACTGCTATAAGAGAATTGCATGTACCAAGCATGAAATTTTATTTCAGATCAGCATAAGCAAGAAAAAAATAATACTTCAAGAAAGAGTGTTGATAGTTGTTAATCTGGAAACATATCATGGTGAATATTTACTGGATAAATATAGTGTTGTGTGAAAATAGAAAAAAATTTATGGTTTCCAAGGGAAACTGCAGGAATAATTTAGTGTTCAAGTTTAAGTATAATAATAATTAATTATGAAAAAGTACAAATTTTGATCAGCAGTTTCCCCCTTTCTGAACAAGAATCGAAACAGAACTTCTGATTATCTTATCGCATATGATATCATTTCTATTTTTGCTGTGGTATCTCGGTAAATCCCCGTCGAACAAACAAGTTGAATAAGATAAAGGGCATACAACTAGATATCGTTTTTCGTTTTCCAGAAGTAAAAAAAAATTTAAATGATACATCAGTAATGTGCACGAGTTTTTTCAATATATAACAAGAATTTATTTTATCTTTAAAGTTTTAAAAGCAATCGGAACTAAAAAAATAAATATATAAATTTAAAAAAAAAATGTAAATATGTAAATACAGGGTGATAGAAGTTTGACTGCCTTAATTTTAACAGAGTATAGAAAACATTAAAATAAACAAAAAAAAAAACTTATATGACATGGGTCCTAAACACAACCATTTCCGAGAAAAAAATTATCAAAATCTCCAACTTGATGTACAAAAGTTCGATTAATTAAGGAATATTCACATAACTGCGGGCATAGAATGTCATAAAATACAATGTTTATCACTTTTTTGAACTCAATTATAAAAAATAATTAGCGTTGTAATAAATTTCAAATTCGATAAAATTCATATCGAGCAATGTGACAACGGCGCGGCGGAATAACACGAGGTACTAAGCGGTCCAGTATTACGCAATTCAGTTGGTGTTGATTTCTGGAATTGGACCGTGTCGGAGTGTTTTTTGTGTACCACTATTTCCTTTTCTTGGTGCGTTTTCCAAGGAGTGCGCAAAAATTGGATTCGAAGGTGTCGTGTGGGCATCGAAAATAGTGGACATTTTGAACATATGTTGTAATTCCGTTTTGTACTTGTGCGTTTAAAAATTACTAAATTTTGCTTTTTGATAAGTCCCTAAATTATTTTTAATACATATGATTTGGACGATGTGAACCTTTGTATCTTCGTATGTACTACAAAATTGATACATTTAATATTATTTATTTCAAAACTGGAAAACAATTGTCTTGAAATTTACTAAATGTTTCACAATAATAGTTGTTTACATTTTTTCCGTAGGACAAGTCTGCCGCGTGTATATGTGGTGTGCATCAGCTGTGTAGCGCTGTTGTCAATTTGTGGTGAAACTTCCCAATATCAATATTCCCTATATTTTGAAAAATGTTCATCTTACGCCCCTGTAATATACAACTTTTTTGTTCATTTACGATTACTCTATCTCATGCTGAAGTTATGGCAGTCATACTTCTTACACCCTGTATGATCTGTTTCAAATTGTGGCATTGGTAACAAACTATTGCCTACAAAATATCGTAGTACAAACTATCATGTTATAAAGAACGTTAACAATAAAAAAGTTGAAACAAATTTTGGGCCATTTTGTTTCTAAGTATAGGATTTACAGTTTTTTAACAATAAAATTTAAATTGACCATTACATTGTTAATTGGTTTGTTTTAAGTTTAATTACATGTACACGTATAGCTTTTTCAAGTATATCTACACAGTGCAAATATGAAATTTTAACGCAACAAAATGACTACCGTGGGGTTTACCGAAATAAGCCTTTAAAAAGTACCGGGAGCGACAAATAATCGATAACAATTACTGGAAAATTACGCAAATTGTGATACGAACATATTTAATTTTAATAACAATTTGACCTCAAAAACCTGTTATCAACCATATGATTTCTAGTACGGAGACTGACTCATACGCTTAATAAACAATATAAATGACATTATTTGATGAGGTTTGAAATTTAAATTTTATAATCTAAACAGCATGATTCACAGGTATTCTATAAAAGAGAAGGATATATGTACCTATAAGATAAAAATTTCTTACAAATGTGGTAATCAGTTTCTCGTTGAATATTACTCGAGGCGCGGTTAAAATAAAAATTTTTATTGTACAATTTACACAAAGATACTACCTTTGCGACAT